TTCCCTACAAGGAAGAGATTATGTCTGTGAACCCTACATGTCTGGTTGTGATTATCCTCCTTTTCATAAGTATCATTTTGGCTTTTAAGGTAAGTGCATTACTGTGTATAAAATCTACTTCTGATTGTGACTGGAATGTTCCTTGCTGGGAGGCCTGGCTTTAGAAGAGATCTAGGGAACTACAGACCAGGCAGCCTTTACAGCTATACAAAGCAAAGTGACAGACATTATGGGAAAAAAGCAGAAAATCTCATAGGCAAGCACAGGAACATATAGGCCACAATGGGGAAGCATGATGCTTGTAGTGGGGGCTTATGACACATAAATCTTTTGAAGGAGTGGGTCATGCAATGGACAAGTGAAAGCCTGTTGATACAGACTTCTTGATTTTTCAAAAGTTGTTTGGCAGAGTCTCTAATCAAAGACTTTAAAAAACACTCTAAGGTGCACAGGGAAAAGAGAAAAGGTCATCTCACAGACTGTATCTAGGAAGTAGACAATAAGAATAAATTGCCAGTCTTTACAACAGCAGGACCCATGCTGTTCCATACATTCATAAAACCTCTGGGAAGGAGAAGGAAATCTAATGCCAGCAATTTTTCGCAATGTCATTCAAAATAGGGAAACAAATCAGCCAAGGAAGCTTTGCAGAAGCCTCTCATGACACAAAGTGACTGAGCAAAGAAATGACAGAGAAACTCAGTGGTGACAAATTCTAAGTGATGGGCACAGAGGAAGCACAATCCAGTTTTGCAGACACTGCACTAGGCTCTGAACTAAGCATGACCACCTCAAAAAGGGATCTTGTAGCTGTAATAGATCGATCTGTGAAAATAATAGCTTACTGCTCAGTTCTAGTCACACAAGTAAATCAAATGCTTAGAATATTGAGAAAGGAATAGAAAAAAAACAGAAATCAAAGATTTCTTTGCCAGTTTTGGTGCCTACCACCTCTGGAAGCATGCATTCATTTCTGGTGCCCTCTCTCAAAAAGGATGTTGTAAAACAGGTAAATAGATCCAAACAGTCCCTTCTAGGAGGTACAACATAAAGGACTGTCACACTAGATAGCAAAAGGGTACAGGGAACCACGATTTATTCGCTGTTAAGCAAACCTCACAGGTGAGAGGGCTGGAGGTAGCAGGTAGCAGATGAAGAGGAGGTGTGGCATCGCCCAGTGCAGCCAGAAAGGGCTCATGTGAAACCCCTGCACTCAGCTTCGTGGTCCAGCGACGCCAGTCCCCACCTGCTGTGTGGGGCAGAAGTCCAAAAGAAGCTCAGAGTCAGATCAGACAAATTGAAGTATAAAAAACAACCACTTGTGGGTCAAGTAGTCCCTTGAACCCCAGATGTCTTAGAAAGTACGCTGATATGTTTACCCTCTTCTCGTACCCTTCTGCAAGTTTCTCACAACACAGTGCTGCCATTCTTGTATTTTTTATCTTGTATTTTGGGTTTTATTTCACAATATTTCTTACTCTTTCTCTGTAGAGCAGTTATGCATTAGAGAAGTCCCACAGAGCCACAGTGACACCAAGGGTGTTGCTTCCAGACAACACATTTGACAACATGATAGGGAAAGCTACTGTGAAATACAGGTTGATTAGATTATTGAAGCTACTTCAAAATAGAAAAACAAAACAAAAACCAACCCAGACAGGGTATTTTAAGGTGCTGTTGAATGTGATACTCTCTTTTGTGATTTAGAAGTGCAGTCTAGCTTTCTAGCTTTATATGTTCACAGTTGCACCATTGATTTTCCTTTCACCTTTAAGCAGTATGTATGAATGTAATACATACATAGATCTGTTGGGTGCCACAACGGATGGGCTCTCTAAACTTCTCAGACTCAAACGTGAGCTTGTTTTTACCCCAGGTGGGTCTGGTATTTCATTGACAAAGTATGGCAAGGAAGTCTCAAGCTTATAAAAGAAATACAACTAAAATTGGAATGGCAAAAATACTTACTACAGAAAAAAAAGAAACCTAAGAAATTAATAGTGCAAAAGGCTTGTTTTGTTTTAAAGTGGCTAACAAATTTTTTCCAAGAGTGTATGTGGCTCATAGAGTGTTCATTCTAACAACAGGTTATCATGCAAAGGAGTTACAAAAAATATGACTCACACAGAAAGATGTTTAATTCCAGTTAGCATTTTCATTTGAATTTCTTGTGTTTCCAGAAGAGCTGCTATGTAGATTTTTGGAATCTGCTCCATGAAAAGAAAGGTGGACACTATCAAATGCATCACACTTTATCACTGAAAGGCTTAACAAATGGTATCACATTTATATACTGAAACTGAAAAAGTACTGTGCATAAAAATAAGCTTGAGCTCCCTCTCCCTCTGGAGTTTGATTAGAAATAGGGAGAGAAATTAAAACATTGTAACCTAGGAAAAGCTGCAATCAGCTGGTGGGAAATATGAAACAGAATCACATAATTCCTCAGAAACATTTGGCATCATGACCCCTTTTTTTGGTAAAGCTACATGCAAAGGAAAACACTACTGAGCAGAAATCAAGGCATAGCAGTATTAGATGGTGTGTTTGTGCTTCGCAGTCATGGGGTTGTGAAAAGGGAAGGGGACAAAAGAGGGTAGTAAGAAAGCAAGCCAGCTAACCACACACAAGCACTTGCCTTTTTAGTCCTCAGGATTTACTTGGATCCGAAGCAGCTAATGGATTTTTTAGGTGGTTTCATGCAGAATCTTTCAAAATGGAGATAATGATGTTATACCATTTATTGTGTTTGTCTAGAAATTCAACCAGTTGCATACCATGAAACACAAGTGCTTCCTATCTGGCTGAGGAAGGACATCCAGCAGCATAAATGTATTTATATATATGAACACAGGCCTTCAAATGGCATATGGCCAACACAGTGGCTTTTGAATTGCTCCCTCCTCAGCAGCTGGTTTGGGGAACAGGACCTTGGCTTCCTCTGGCCAGCCCCAGCTGCTGAGACAGCATGATTGAGACTTCAACCTCCCCACTGTGGGCTAAGCCCCCCAACCTCAAATGATCCAGGTTCAGGTGAGCACAAACAATCAAAATCAACCCTTCCCGCAAGCTGCCCTGAGCACTCTGCAGCTGCAGGGTATGGCCTCCTCTTCTTTTTTGGCATTTCTTTTTCCAGAAAGGAAGTAGGAGGAGGCAGTTGCCATCTGGGCAGCTGAAAGATATTCCAGTTCAGTGAGGCAGGCTGGTCTTCAGCAAACTCAGTATCAACCCTGGTCTCCATAATATGCCCATAACCTGCATGTACAAGGTGTCAAGCCTGGGGCTGAGACCACTCTGCATGTCCTGGTGTCCTCAGCAGATGGGAAAGCATGATGCAGAGTGAAGTTTTATGCTCATCCTGAGAGACTTAGTATGGGATGCCCCTGGCAGGGCAAAACCTGGCCTGTAGCACCTCTCTTTGACATCTACTACCTTCCTGGTACCTACACAGCCCCAGCAGCCAAGCTCCAACTCCCACTCACAGGAACAGTCAGCACAGAGCCACAAGGCTGCCACCTGGGACAGGTCCCAGCACTGGGCTTGCTGATGGCAGATTTGGAAGAGAAGCCTCCTAAAGCAGGGGTCATTTTCTTTAAATTGTGTACCCCACTCTGTGTGACTGTGAGCTATCAGGTGATGGCCTGGCCTGTATCGGGTGCCATTTAAAGTGTTTCAGGCCAGTGGTTTGATTTGGCATCATTAATTCTTTTAAATCACAGTATTTCATTGTAGTTTGAAGGAGTGGTTCTTGTACAGCTGTCTTTATTCTCATTCTACACATCCTAGTGTGCTGAGAAGATGGATTTAATTGCAGGTTTCATTAGCACAGCAGCTCATTGCTTCTCCTCCTGCAGCATCAATGCATGAAATACACATGGCCAGCTGGTTTGCCATTAGGATCCCTCTGAAATCTTCATATAAATTTCCATTTGTGTAGAAATCTTTATCTCATTTTCACCAGTTAGTGAAGACCAGCTCAGCTCTGTCAATAGAAAATTGCCAAGTGTCTGGAGGATGAAACAGGACCCGGTACTGACAGCTCCAAACCCAAAGGGGCTCTGTCAGGTCTGCAGTGTTCGCCCAGCTCTTGCTGCCAAAGACAGAGCTTCCCAGAGGGATGGGGTGACCCAGATCAGCACAGACTTTCCTTTACTGCCTTAAAAGAAATGTCAGGATACAGCAACCTCTAATTTCCATAAACATGCCAGTCAGTCAGTTGGTTGGGCACACGTCTGATGAGCCTAAGTTTTGTGGGTTTCAGTTTCTTAGGGGCTGAAGTAATTTACCACCATTCAGATGGGAAGACCAAAAGCTGATGGAAGTAGGTACAAGTGCCTATTTCCACACTCAGCCCTTCTTGTACACCCATTCTTTCACATGGTGGTAACTGGGGCTGTGCCCTCAAAAAAGGTGTCTGTCAGCAGCTTGTGCTGTGGTGTGTGTGAATATCACTAAGGGTGGATTAGGCTGAAGTGATTTAATGCCTTTTTACACAGGGCCTATTCCAAATGTGAATATTGGCTTCCTGAGAGAAAAATCAATATATTTATATACTGGGTGTCCAGCCATAAATTTTAAAGCAGTATTTGAAAACTCAGCCAGGTTTTTCAGGAAAAAAAAAAAAAAAGGTAACTGAATCAGCAATATCAGGTAACAGTGCAGCAGCATCAGTAGAAAACAATTATTAGGAATAAGTGTAGAGAATAAATTACAGGTTGAGGAAAATGAGATTCCATGACTCAAAATTAGCAGGCCAGCAGCACGTATCCAAAGCACTTGGACAAGGACATGCTCTGAGCTGCCACCACTCTCAGCCGTATGTGGGTCAGTGTCTCCAGGCCAATTACTTGGTGTGTGCTGGCTGATGACCTCTTTAATTCAAGGGCTGAAACAAACCTCACTCACTGAGAAACAGCTGGTACATGTAGCAGCAGGGCTGACTAGAGCTAGTGCTCAGATCTGGAAGAGATGTAGGAGTTCATTATGGAGTTAAATGTGTTTGACTGACCACATGTAATGGAATGGCAGCATTCAAAAGTAAGTACCCCAGTAGCTTCTCCCAGATAAGACTGCATTATCTGAAATGGGGCTTCCCTTTTTCTTGCATTTTGACAGCAGTACAGAAACTGGTTTGTAAATAGTTAAGCTTAATGTAAAACATTTCTTATGAAGATGGGCTGTGTCCCTACAGAAGTGTACTGTATTCAGTCTCTGTTCTGAACTAGCTCTTGTGCTTTCTCAGCACATAGCATCTGAGCATTGAAAGCTACTGAACTACTTATAATCATGGAAAAGGTGCAGCTCTCCATGTACGTGCCTTTACCTCAGTTGTTTCAGTAGCCTAAGGCAGGTTTGCATACCCTCAGGTTATAGAGTCAGTCTAACCTTCCCTAAGGACTCAGCTCACTCCAGAAGCCTTTTGCTCTCCCTACTTGATGGTTGAAAGTATTGTTGAAGTGTGTGACACCTCCAAGTCATCCAGGGTCTGTAAGATGCTGTAAAGAAAAGGAAGTAAACTTACTGGGTTTCAGCCAACTCAGCCCTAGTGGAAGAAACTCTTCCTGATCTGCAAGCAAGCCATCAGTCAGTCATGTGGCATCCCAAAAAACACACCTGCTGTGTGACAGCTCTAGAGACACAGGAAGCACAGGGCAGCTCAAAAGGATAAGAGGCTTTTGGAAGGTCATCAGTGCAAGTGAGTCACAAAAATATGACTCACTCAGAGTGAGAGACAAATGCAAATCTGACCACTGCTGGCAGTTTAATTTGCACACACTAGCTTTGTGAAAGAGCTGCTATGCAGAACCTACTTAGTAAAAATATAAGTTGGGTACTATCAAAAGACATCGTTCTCCTCATCACTGCCATGTGTGACTGCATGGCAAACAGAAAGCTCCAGACTAAACTGCCTAGTCCCATCAGCCTTGTCTCTGCCATGCTGAGGGTCTTGCTCCCATTGCTCCACATCTGTTACTGCCTCCTGTCCTCCTTCCAGTCACTTTGCTCATCTTTGCTGGCCAAACTGGAATCTCTCCTGCTGGTGAAGGAGATAATGGATGTCAGCAATTTGCCCAAACAGTTTTTAAAAATGTGGGGACAACTAGTTGTTTGCCAGGCAGCAGCCCTATCCAGAGCCAAGTGAGCTCCAAGAACAAAACTAGTGAAGTTTATGATCCTATGATAGGATTAATTATGCAATAACAAGTTTTATTGCTTTATACTGAAAAAATTAAGTATTTGTAATGACGTTTAAAAGGGCAGAAGTAATTTCAGATTTCAGTAAAAACTTTCACATAGTACAATTTTCTCTAGTCAGGCAAGAAAAGGAAGACCTTTGACCATTCTAGTCCTATGGAATACATTGATTTAATGTCAGATTAAGTGAAACGGAGTATTGAAACAATGCAGGTGATATACACAATCATCACATAGTCATTGGCCAGGCTTCCACTCACAAGGAGAGTTTCCTGTCATTTGCTTGATGATTCTTCAATCCTCAGCTTGCTTGTGCTGTTTTTACTGGAGTTTGCTTCTGCTTTCTAATACTACGAACCCCCAGTTGGCAATATTTAAACATCCTTACCACAGAGGAATACAAAACTGGTTTATGTTGACTAACTGTTCCTGTCCCCAAGACATTCTGCATCTGCAGTGCCTTCTCTTTTTATGTCACAGTCTAACTTTTACCCTAATTTTGTGTTGTAAGACTCACCCCTGCTGATAGGCAATATCTCATGCACAATAACAAAGTGTCAGACTGGACTCACATCTCTCTGTATTTCTGGAGAGGTGTAAGGAAGTAAGCCAGCATATGTGACTTGCTCATTTGAGTATAATGGAGGTTATACACAAAATTATGTTACTTTAGCTATATTCAGGCCTAAAGAAACTGTTTCTTTTCGAAACAATTTGTCTGTGTTAGGCATGCTGTAATATTGGATATCTGCAATAGTAAACTTCAGATAGCTCTAGACTGCAGTATCTCTGCCTACATGAAGCAGCTCATAGTGGAACTCAAGTATCCATAATTGTATCCAGAACCATATAATCACAGAGTGGCCTTCCAGTACCCTAAAGGGCCTACAGGAGAGCTGGGAAAGGACTTTTTACAAGGGCCTGTAGTGAGAGGACAGGGGGTAGTGGATTAAAACTGGAGGAGGGGAGATTTAGGTTAGAAATTAGGAGGAAATTCTTTAGTGTGAGTGAGAGTGGTGAGATACTGGAACAGGTTGCCCAGGGAAGCTATGGAAGCTCCGTCCCTGGAAGTGTTCAGGGTTGGGTTGGATGGGGCTCTGAGCAATCTGATCTAGTGCGAGGTGTCTCTGCCCATGGCAGGGAGGTTGGAACTAGATGATCTTTAAAGTCCCTTCCAACCCTAGCCATTCTATGAGTCTATGATTCTGTGTTTTGGATTAGAAGGGACCATTAATGGTCATCTAGTCCAACACCCCTGCTGTACACAGGGACATCTTTAACTAAACCAGGTTGCTCAAAGCCTCATTCAACCCAACCTTGAACACTTCCAGGGATGGGGCATCCACAGTTCCTCTGGGCAACCTGTTCCAACTCCTCATCGTAAAAAGTTTCTTCCTTACTTTTAATCTAAATCTAACCTCTTTCAGTTTAAAACCATTGTCCCTTGTCTTGTCATGACAGGCATTGGTATAAAGTTTCTCTCCATCTTTCTTGTAAGCCCCCTTTATTTATTGAAAGGCCACAGTAAGGTCTCCCTGGAGCCTTCTCAACACTGAACAACCCCAACTCTATCAGTATGAGAAACAGTGTTCAATGACTCACACAGCCCTCCCACATACTTACAGTTCCTGCAACCAGCAAAGCGACTGTCCTGTGCTTCTGTTAGGCTCGTGTCCTTCTTTATGTAAGAATAGAAACGTTCTAACAGAAAAAAAACCCATATACAGCTTATTTTCTGCACAGAATAAGAAACCCCTTCTCTTTGTAGGGTTACTTGATAAGCTGCGTGTGGAACTGCTACCGATACATCAACAGCAGGAACAACTCGGACGTGCTGGTGTACATCACCACCAACGACACTGCGGTAAGGGTGTCAGCTCACAAACGCTTGTCCAATATTATGCATGTAACAGCTTTCTGTCATGTTAATTTCTAACTTCTTAGGTAACCTTCCAAATTTCTTGGAGAGTCCTCGTCTATTGGTTATGTCTAGACTTGAGATTCAACAGACTGGTGTGCTATTTTATTGTTTATGGTTTTATTTTCTGCATATAGTCCGTTAAAGAATCTTTTCAAAGTATAAACTATAGCTTGCCTCATGACCCCAGCAATGACTCCAGCTGTGATAATCTGGACAGCAGGGTGATTGTTTAGGACCCAGGTGTGCCATGGTCTACACCTGCCGTGAAACATGGATTTAACTATAGAAACTGTGATTTAGGACACTCAGCATCTGGTGTAGTGCTTTACACACTCACAGAGAGGAGCTAAAAGGCAACAAAAGTTCAGTGATTCATTTTCCAGTGCATGAAAGGTTGTGTATAGTAAGGAGCCAGAATGAAACAAAGATCAACATGAAATAAATACATAAACAGAATTTAATCTGAAAGAACATAAGGTGTCAGTTCACTTTATAGTAGTTTAGTGATGATATGTGTATGCACAGGACACAACTGCTAAGCAACGTGTAGCTTGTTGCAGAAGGCACTGAAGGAACACAAGAGGAAAGAGTCCCTGGAAAGCTGTTTGTGGCAGTATTTCCATGAAGCTGCCCTGTTCCACCCAAACTACACACTGGGGGCACTGTGCCAAATTGGTCCCTGGGGTGGGACTTTACACCATTTACATAACAGAATGAGAGCAGCATGAACTTGGTCTTTCGGATCATCTGAGTAAAGTTTCAGGATTGCCTTCCCCAGGTTTTCATAACGTGGGTGGTTTCCACATGCTGAGGTATTAGACCATCAATTTTAAAACACTGGAATGAGCAATTCCTGTGCAGCCACAAAGGCTTAAGAAACTATTACTACTTTAACATAAAATCTGTAACACTGGCATAGCCATTTGTCTTCAACACCTGGAGCTTAAAGAAAACCGTAAGAAGTTTTACAGACTCTGAGTAGAGCTGGCAACCAAGACATTTATGTATAAAAATATGGGTTTATTGAAAGCTAATAAGTATTACTGCTTTCTCTACTGGAATCTACTTTCAGTAAAACTGGGAGGTTTATGTGAAATAATTTTGATAGCTCTTTTGTTCAGCCTGTGATGAGTTGTAACTCAGCTTCCAGCACTGCTAACTCTACAATCCACAGAACTGGAAGGCTTGGTGGTAGGAGAGAATCAGCTGGATTATCTGGGAAACTAGGATTTCCTGGTCTTTTTAAAAGCTACATTAGAACCACCTGCTCCACAGCTGCCTTTACAAAGCAAAAACTGGAGGGTTTCAGAGATGCCTGGTTACCAAAACTCCTCTCGGTACTTTTGTATTTAGTAATTACCAAAGTTCTCTGAGCTGCCTCCTAATCTTTAAAGCACTTGTGTTACTGTGAGGAAAGGAAGCCCTTCTATCCCTTTTACAGATTACATATTTTGGCACTGAAAGTTGAATTTAACTTTGCTTATCTTGATCTTACAAGACAGTTATGGCAGAGGCAGGTTTTGAGAAAGGCTGTGTGTTTCTAGCTAGTGCCCTCACCATTGGACTCTTCTTTCCTCATTATTTACACCTCCATAATTTGAATACAGTCAGAATCTCTTTCTTTCAGGTATGATGCATTTGTTGTTCATTCTTTCTTAAGTATGTTCTATGAGATGACATTAGATCAGGTCCTATAGAAAGAGCTGTTTGGGAATTTATCAGCTAACAAAAAAATTCACCCAGCAATTCTTGTCTGGGAGTACAGAAAGGTTCAGGAGCAGTGCTGCTGTGGAAGAGGTTCTCAGGCCCAGACAGACAGGCAAGAGCAGAGAGAGTTACTATCAGCCTGGGTTTTTAATTATTGATTTGGAGTGGAGGCAAGCTTCATTCAAACCCATGTTTGACCTCTTCTCTCCAGTCAGGATGAGCTCCTTCATCCCTAGATGACAGTCTCCATATCTTACACATCCTTCCCTGACAAGGTCCATGAACATCCACCAGCACAGTGCACTCAGCAATGTTGTGATGGGGGAGCTGATGAGAAGCCTCTTTCTTTCTTATGTTCATTGCTGAGTTTCAGCAAGGAGCAACCATTTGTAGGGTTAAATCCTCATCATGCCCCACTGTGAAACAGAAGATTGTTCTTCTCTCCCTTTACTCTCCCAAATCACAAACTCAAATATTATTTTTATTGCTATGTCTACATTGAGAGGCATCAGCAAAAATCCCTATTCACATGACTGAAAAAAAGTAAGCTCAGCACAGTTGGATAAAAATGTCTTCAAAATGAAATGTGGAATAAAAGGGCTTTGAAAGTTGAATGCTGAGGACCTTGGCTAATTTAGGACTCTTGAAGATATCATGAAATTTTGAAATGCTGTGTATTTGCCCCGACATTCAAGTGTACTTTTGTATTAAAACAATGTCTTTCAATTCTTACTGTTGCTCAGAAATGGCTTTTGGCAGAGCTTCTTCATACCAACATCTGTTTAAATTATGAACTACAAGTTTCTTAAAAAACGTGGGTCAATCTCTGCCTTCTGTTTTGAAAGAAACATTATTTTTAGAATCAAACCTGCTACCTGAATTCCAACAAAGCTGAAGGTCGTATCTGCAGGGTATCTTATCTTCCTTTAGATATGTTTTTTGGTTTATATTTATCTTCAGCATTAGCTGGAAGAATACCAATCTGTACAAATAGAAGTGAAAATCTCAGCTTAAATACAAGACTGGGTATTACAGCTACAATAACAAATTTTAAATATATCCCAGTACTTCCAAAATCTAGAGATCAGATCCCAGCTGCTACCTGCTAGTGTCCCTTGTACTGCATAGTAATTAATGCATCTCATCTACACTCTACACACAAGATTATTTTTAAATTATTAGGTTTGCAAGTACTAGACTCTGTATTACAAAAAACACCTTGCATGGAGTTTAGATATTGGCTTGTTTACTGCCAGACTTAGAAGCTCTGGTTTATGTATTGGGATTATTAGAAATACAAAATCCTTCTGCAGTTACATAAATATTTTTAATGAAGCTAAGAAATGTATTACTACAAATATTTTATTACTTTGTCTTACCATTTTTTGGGGAGAGCTGTCTTAGAAAGATATCCTTAAAATGAAATAGATACCTTATTTCTATTACAATTTGCACTCTGGGGAAAAAAGAAGTCTCTGCCTTCCATAACAGTTCATCAGTAATTCAAAATTCTGTATGCCTGCAGGATTTGTACTGAAAATGGAAAAAAAAAAGGGTAAAACCCCTTTTAATTACAGTTAAATAGCCATGAACAATTAAATTTTTGTTATGATTACTTGAAAGTCCTTGGTGGGTCTCACAATTAGTTTCCCCAGTCTAAAGCAAGTCCATCATAACTATGTAAATTCATACTGAGACTGTACAGATTTCAACAGCAGCATCCATCCATCTTCTTGGCTTGTGTGGTGGAAATCTACTGATCTGTCTTTTCAAGAGATGAGCTTTTGTGGTTTTTGTCCTCATGCAGCACTGCTCTGCCAACACCAGTCACTGGCACTCTCCTGTGTCTGTCATACCTTCTCTCTTGCTCCTTCTGAGATCTTCTCCAACAACTCCTCTGTGGTAACAGTCCTCAATTCAGTAATACTTTATTTAAAAAAAATATTCAGCTGTCTCTCTGCCTTGTTAGTAATTTTCATACTACTAAAAGCCTTGAGAACACCTGAAGTGCAGACTGATAAGGGGGGAAGTGCCCAGCAGAGAAATTTCCAGTTAATTCCCCCGGTCAAACTGGTTCTTACAAATAATGCCCATAGATCTGAACTGTAACTAACCTCACCACTACAGTTATGGGCTACCAGATAAGCCGATTTTTGTCACTCAGCCTAAGCCATCTTTTTTGCAAGGGTGTCATCTGGAGCAAACAGATGTCCTCCCCACTGCAGGAAACTGCTGCCCCTGTGAGGTGAGAGGGCCTCATTCTGTGGCCCTGATCAAAATTTGACTCTGCATGAATGCACCCGGCTTTGCTCCAAGAACAGACTGTTATGGGGTGGGGGGAACAGCCGCTGCTGGGCATGGGAATGGCCTGTGGGATGACATGACAGTCTTATGCTTCAGGGGCTGATAACACCAAAACCTGGGGATCCAGCTGTGCACCTTAGTCGCAGCAGAGTCACCTCTCCAAGTGTTTTTCCAACACTTTCCTCCTCTCAGTTTCTGGAGGTGTCTGTAGGAGATTTTGCCATCACAGTAAGGTGGCTCCCGCACAGTGAACCATAGTAACCTGAAGATAATTCTTTCCACTTTCCCAAACTCAGATTGCTTTTTCCTGCCAACTGCTGAAGATGAATTTTCTACACTAATTTAAACTGTGACAGCAATACCATAGAAACATTCATCCAGTTTGGGAAAACTGTCAGCATACAAATGCAGAAGATAAACCAAAGTCAGACATTTTGTTCTCTAGAGCAGGAACAGCTCCTTTGTGCTCGTGGACACTCAGGGGTTTTAATTTTGTTTATTTTTAGCTCTCACTGAAGCCAATCAATGGAAGTTTCATCCTTGGTCATGCTGCCAGTAGGGATAAAGTGTAAAGCCATAAATCTCTCTTCAAAGTGGAATTTAGATACATACTTTATCAAATCTGTCCAGTGGATCCTATCTGACATACATTTATCCTCAATGGTTAGTAAGTTACTTGTTTTTTCAATGCAGATATATTCCTTCTGTTGACATGACATTAACTAAGTAGCCTGTAATTAATCTGTCAACACTTTTGTTTGCTCTCTCTCAAAGCAATTGGAGAAATATTTGAGAACTGCAGAGTTAGGTTCACTCCTGCTGGTTGACTCCTCTGAGCAGAGGAAGAATATTATTTGGTAAGGCTGGGAGAGCCATTCTGTGTGTTACTGTGTTATACTACGTGTGAAAGGTGACTAGTTTGGCTATGGATG